TGCTGCTGCTGCTGCTGCGGCGCAAGAGAGGTTGTTTTCGTCGTGAATGTCTTCAAAGCCGGAGCATCCTACATCATAACAAGGTCAGTTCTGACCGCGACCCACGGTCGCTAGCAGACCTGTCTCTCTTCTCATCAGCAACGTGTGACAGAGCATAGCTCTTGGATGCAACAGACAGAGGCATACGGTCTGTATCGATCTGAGTGGTTTCTTTCGCTCCAATACCCAGCCTGCTGGGCAACCGCCGTGCAAAGCACCGCATTTGCGCAGGAGGCCTGGGCCTAGTGATGCCTGTGTCCATAGGACAAGTGCCGACAGAAGGCACCGGGCTGTATTTCTTCACTCCATTGCGAAATCTTACCTCAAGAAATTCAGAATCAAGAAGTTCTGCGGTCTCCAGCAGCATGAGCTCCACCCACACTATCAAGGCTCCCTCTTACACCTGCGCGGCCCGCAACTGGCGTAACCGCTATTTAGATTCTACCCCCATCTAAGCTTTGTAATCGTTGCGATGAATTTGACGTCAGCAAGTTAAGTTACCTTTTGGGCTCTATGCACATGCACATGTGCCCACCAGCCCATGCCGCTTCGTTCACTCCAGCACAAAAGCTGAGCGGCGAGAGGGGCTAGCTTCCACCGAGGCAAATGTACCAAGTACAGAAAGTTTCCGGAGGCCCCCGCGCAAGCTGTGACCTCCTACATGCTCAGATGCACCCAACCTCCAACTGCGCTCACGCCCAGCAGTCCAAGCCCAACGGTACCACTTGAAGCTTGCCTTGTCCCATGGACGAGCGATTGCCATCATGGAATCTGCGGGCGAGCCGAGCACAAGGACTGCAGAGCGGGTTACCATGTGTAGGCAGAAGCTGTTTGTGTTTGCTCCAAAATTGTTACATTGTGCCTTCTGTAGCCTCTTCTGGGTGCTTTCTCAAGGGGCTTGGAAAGCACTCGAAGCATACATGAGTTCACATGCTGCACATTCAACTTGCTCACGCTTTCCGAGCAGTCTCAAAGATGAAGCGCCTGACACTTCTGAAGCGAGAACGCACGCAGCTACACCTGGACCCCCAGCAAAGCGGCCACAAGCTGAGGTGTTCTTAAATCACTTGAATCACTTGAAGTTAATCGACAGTTAATTCCTGGCCTTTGTGGGTCAAGCATGGATGGAGTGGGCTTGTGCCCCACAACCTAGATACATAAAGGAGCGACAGTGCAGAGTCAAAGTCAGGTTGGTTTCGTGGCATAGGCCCGCTCTGACTTCAAGCAAACCTGAGGCGGCGCAAGCGGCAAAATGCGGTTGCCTCGGCTGATGATTCCTTTTCTTTGTTGAGCTTGCATCCTCATTCTATGATCCGTTGTAGCTTCATAAGCTGAACGTGGATATGGCACAGCACAAAACTTTCGGACGAGCCGACCACTCCTAGCTCTTACATCGGGCATCACTGAAAGTGACGATTTCCTTTGCTCGCAAAAGCATGAAGCAAATTCGAGGACCCCTCAACCCCCTTGCTGTGAGCTTGCAAGAGGCCGGGCGCCAGGTGCACTCGAAGAAGGAGGCCTGGCCACAAAAAAATTGTGGCCCCATAATTAGAATCTCTTTTCTGGGCCTCCTTTCAGTATGGTATAATTCGTCCGAAATGCTGAGAATATCACAATACCCAAACGTGGCGTTGTTCTGGACAGTCCTCTCCATCAGGCTGGGGGATGCTGGAGGTACTTTAACTCTAAGGCCCAGGTTCCAAGTAGCGCAAAATAGCTTATGTTACAGTCAGCAATTACGTGGGCATTCCCACTGTATAGACTTGAAGGCTACATCTCACACTGCCCTCCAAAGTCTAGCGCGTGAGTGGTTCTGGTCTGTAGACGCCAGACGCACTGAGTCTTTTTAGCCTGCAAGCTTCGGGCTAGGATGGCAACGAGTCTCTCATGGTGGTTGGGCTCTTAAAGCACTGGGTATGTTGTGACATTTTTCTGGCTTTGTGGTAGCATCAGCCCTTTTGCCAGCCAAGCTTCCGGTTATGGAGCGTAGGTAAAGGGAGTGTAGCACTTGGGAAGCGAGCTCAAGCTCATAGAGGCGTACGCTAGTGCTCCACCTGGTTGCAGCAAAGGAGCAGCTACCATGTCTGATTGATTCAATTTCTTCTTCATACACCAGTCCAATACAGCAGCCTCTGCACGCTAGGTGTTGAACTGCCAGTATAGCTAATTGTTCCAAGGCCGTCAAGCAGGAGAATCCCGAGTTCGACAGGCTACGAGGGCATGCCAGCACTAGTGGCTAACACCCCTGCTAGCTCTGCTAGCTAGTGATTCCAGTGCGGCTTCGAGACTGGCCCATGCGTCTGCAGCTTTCCACGTCCACTTCTCACAGGTCCTCTTCCGCAGAAGAAGCTGCAGAGGAGTGGGAGTGGGAGCATGCATTTCTGGTTCTCACCTTCAGGAAGTGCAAAAGTGTCAGACTCGAAAACAGCAGAGGGCGTGTTAGCACAATCCTGCCCTTGATGGCAGGAATTCTGTTTCTCATATAAGCTACCAAATTACCAGAATTGACTTTGAGGGAAACCGGACAGATATAAAAAGAAGATGATGGAGTAGCGTTCGTAGCTTTTGGATGTCGGTGTCTCTATCTGGTGTCTTTCACTGCTTTGCACGCAGGATGAGCCCCAGCCCGACCAAGAGGCGCGTTCCAGAGCATGATGTCATTGTTAGCAGTACACGATGATGGTGGTCGTGACGATGTAGCGACAGACATTATGATGGCGGCCATGCCGCTGATGTCTTCAAGAACATGCGTAGGAAGAAGAAGAGAATATAGATCCATGTCAGCGCTACACGTCATGAGAACACCGACAACATACTGTAGCGATTGCCGGGTAAGATCAAGACAGCAGTCGCCTACAATATGAAGACGTAGACACTGACATTCACCTTCGGGATAACGGTGGCCAGAAGTCAGGTCAGGGCTGTACTGTCTTCTGAAAGCAGTCAACCAGGATGGATTCAGAAAGCACAGTTCTTACAGTACCTCCAGAAACCCCTTGTAAGCAGATGCTTAGTCCTGCTTTGGGAGGCTGCGCGGCGGGCTGAAGCCGAGAAGCGGTGTCGCGAAGAACTGCAAGAGAAGCTCAAGGCCAAGGGGCGGGTATGCGTTCGGGAAGCTATCGTGGAGGCAGTATGCTTGGTCTGGCATGCTTGGCCGTCTCCGGGTTTGTATCACTGCTTGAGGCTTGCAGTCATGCTGGAACGAAAGTGCCTTCATTGATCATGCTTCTGAACATGCTCGCGTACAATCAGGCGCCTTTGGAGTTTACGGCACCGCCACCTTTTGTGCCCAGTTGAGACAATCTCTCTTGGCGCAGCTTTCATCACTTTTTCCATGGAGCTTTCCGCCAAGAATACTGACTTACGGTCCTTACGGTGCTGTAGCACCGCATTCCTCAGGCAGAGGAGGAAGAGTTGAAACGCCGACAGACAAATCCTCACGAGCCGAGGCACCGGAGCCGCTTCATTTGGTGTCATCTATCACTCTGAGAAAGGGGAGGGATCTACAAGATGTTGCACCCAAACAGTCGCTGGTAAGACCGGAAGAATGGGCAGGCCTTTCAGAACGGCGTTCGTGGAGATTTAGTTGTTTATTGCTGGAGATGGCGTGGAGAGTTGCCACCCGCTGTTGGCAGAAGTAGGAGCCAGATGCAAGAAGCCTCTAGACTGGACTTTGCGAGGGGGTACATCAAGCAGACTGGCTGCAGGACCCCAGTGGTGGTGCCTGCCAGGATCCAGGCCCCGGCGGCGGGAAAATGTTCAAGGTCTTTCTGGGGGTGAACCTTGTTCTTTTGCCAAATGTCAGGTACCTTCACTTCAACTGCTGAGCGAAGTGGAGCGCAAAGCCCGATCGGAGCTGCAGGCAAGGCTAAAGGCCAGCCTTTGGGTCGCATCGGTCGCCAGGGAGGGCTACATGTTTTTGCTGTCACCTGCTTTTCTTACTTGTCCTTCATTGCCGTCACATCTTCTGAAAATCGGGACCAGATAGTCTCGACATTTACACTCACAAGCGTCCTACTGCGGTTGCTACGGCATGGGTTGCGAATGTTGTTTGCAACTGGCATCAGGTTTCAGGATAGTGTTGAGCTTAAAACTTACGGTCTGACAGGCAAGACTGCTTGGGGTGCAGGTGTCGAACGTTGAGGATGGGGGTCCAGTTTTCCCTTCCCGGCAGCGGCTTTGCCAAATCATTAAGCCGTGCATTTTGGGGCGGCATAAAGCCTCTTGCATTAATTACGGTGCTATCTCTTGTTTGCGCTGCTGATCTGTTAGAACATGAACCCCCCAACCCTGGCATTTTTCGGGCGGGGGCAGCAGACAAAGCTAACAGGACGGCTGCATTCAAATCCTGTCTTCAATTAAGATCAAAGTCATGATAGAAGGCACCTCAACGCAAACTACTCCTGATTCGGAACACCATCACAACACCGATGCCAAGCAAAGGAACCGTCTTTTCGAATGGGAGTGGCTTGGGTGTATTGTGCAGCACAAGTCATGGAAGCAAGGGGCATGGCATGCCGGAGTCTCCTCATGAACTCTAGAAGTGAATCTTGTCGTCTGCGCCCGGATGCAGAGCAGCCCAGTCAGCGGGTAAGAGTCTAGAGTCGAGAGCTTAGGATAGGTCCATGTTCCTTCTTGAAGCCGACACTTCAGATAGCCCGGAGGAGGAAGAGCGGCTGATCGCTGAAGAGAGGCCTTAAGCGGGTTGACGCTTCCCACGCCACGTGGACATGTCACAAGCCGGTAGTTTGCGCAGCTTCGCTGCAACAAAAAAAGCTCCAAGAGGGAATGCTGATCCCTTCAGCTTGCAGTAGCACATTACGTAAGGAACAATTGTGGATATGCAAGTTTGCAGAACGTAGTCACGCAGGCCATTAGCGATTTAGCCCAAATTCGCGTCCCAGTGAAGAAAGGAGAATTGCTAATCACTTTCTGCAATTGCGATCCGTCAGGGCGAAAGCCCAGCTGCAGGCAAGGATGCAGGCAACATGATTGCTTTCTGACCAGAAGAATGAGCCTTTGGATATTTGGAATCTGGTTTTGAGGGGAGTGGATTTCCAGCTTTGTACGATGCAGCTCTATTGCCATAGCCACCTCGGGCTGCAGTGATCAAGCATCAGGCGAACCAGCGTAGCACAAGGTATTTGCACTAGTCATGTTCGCTTTACGTTTTTGAGCGTGGCCTGCCCTGCACAAACTCGCTGTAGAGAATTGCGCCTGTCCCTAGTGTAAGCATCAGCCTACTT